ATAAAATTTTTCAACTCAGGTTGGTTATATTCTTAAGTCTCTACTTGAAATTACTAACTGCAGTTTACTGTGATTAAGACATTAGGATCTGCTGAATTCTTAACTTTACCAAATCTATATTTTAAACTAAAATAAATCTATCAAGTATAAAGACTTGAAAGATGAAATTACAAATAATTTAATTAAAGAATTTAAATAATGAACTCAATTACAAATAATGTATAAAAATTACATCAGATTATATAAAGACATAAAGAAGCAGAAAGATATAAGCTTTAATTGATTTCTTTATTATTTTAAACTTGTATTTAAAAAAGAGTTTTCTAATTTGTAAAAGAGTTAATTTTAGATTTGGCAAAATGTTTAAACTATAGTTTTGCTAATTTTTTACTAAGGTTTTAATATAGTTTTATATTTTTATAAGCTTTAATATAGTTTTACATTTTTAGAATTTTGCAGATTTTTTAATAAAATAATAGATTATTCGTTAAAAGGTATATGATAAGGAAAATTAAACTCTTAACTTTTCTAAAAGAATTGTTCTAATAATCTCCTAAAATTTCGTTACATTTGTTTTAAATTTCTATGCAAATTTTGAACTGTTTAAGTATTTAAATAACTTTAGAGATATTTGATATTAATATATATACAGTTAAACTAAAATTGAAGACCTTTATATTCTACTATAAGATCTTAATATTGATACCTATTTTGAGATAAACAAGAAGATAAATTATTAATCTCATTAGATAAACTGTTCACTTGAAATAAAGAAGAACGCAATAATTATCGAAGTCTATAATTTTTAATATAAATTTGTTTAATTTTTATTGACTTATTTCTTCTTTTTAATAATAAAAGTTGTATTAATAATAAGAGAAAATTGCTTTTAAAGACTTTTATCTATAGTAAAGAAATAAAAAAAATATAAAATTTAGAAAGATTTGGGATTTTGTGATAGTTTCAATAAAGAAAAAAGGATTTGTAAAATCAGAAGAGATTTTTAGACAAATATTTATAATCAAAAGAAGTGGTTATGAAAAATTTTCAAAATTGTGAGAATTATTTTCTTGCAAAAAAATAAATAAAAATCTATTGGATTATATTGGATGATGATTATTGTATAGAAATCTATAGAATAAAAATCTGTTTAATATTAGCATAGTTGATCAACATTACTAAAATTAGATATATCACACAATGTTTACATAGTATATTTTGATCAATATTTCTTTATTTAATACAAATTTAAGAAATTTTCATAAGCTATATAATTTTAAGAGTTTAGTAAACTGTATATATAAAAATCAAGAAATATGAAAATGTTAGTTTTTCTAAAAAAAAATTACTTACAATAAGTTTGTTTGTCTAAATTCATTTTAGATTTGACAAAATATCTAAACTATAGTTTCACTAAATTTTTACTAAAGTTTTGATATAGATTTACATTTTTATAAGTTTTGATATAGTTTTTCTTTTCCAGAATTTTACAGATTTTTTAATAAGGTTTTAATATAATTTTACTAATTTTTATCTTTTTCTATTTAGATGACTTATAAAACCTTTAAGTTTTATCTAGCAATCTTACTTACAATATTTATATAGTTTATGCATTAAGAAAAGTTAAACAATATAATCAGATAATTAAAAATTAATTTTAAATTTGTATTTAATAATTTTTTCATGATAGATTTCTTAAATATTAGATTTTAATGAACTTTTCTAATATAGAAAAAGATTATATCATAGATGAAGATTAGATCAATATAATCAAACTACTAAGTATAATTTTATTTATAAAATGATTAACAAAATATATAACCTAACTATAACTACTAGTTTAACCTAATGAAGAAAAATTTTAAGAAAAAGACCAAGTAAAAATAGACATTTAACTACCATCTAGACTATCCAACTGAAATTAACACTCAACTTTCTTACAAATCCTTATAGAATAACTATTACTCTAAAATGTTTCATTTTAATGAAAGTTTTCAACTTTTAGTATATTTATTCTTTATCTCAATAGTTTTTTATAAGTATTTTGACCAGTTACAAGATATGCTAGTCTGCATGTCATAAGTAGCCTTTTTCTTTCTTTTTCTTGTACTTGAGTTTGTAAGGTCACAAACTGTTCATAAACTTTATTTTTTTGTTATAAACGAAAAGTTCTATACATTTGACATTTTTGAAGATTATTTTTAGAATAATTATTAAAAAACATTTTATTTGAAAATTTGAAATTTAAAATTTGAAGATTTAGATTTTGAATAATTAAATCAGTATACATAAAAGTCATATTTAAGAAAAATAATTTATCACATGATCACATCTAGAAGATTATTTAAAATCAGACTATTTATATAGAATTTTGAATCCTATAATTCTAAAAATTAACTAATATTAGCCCTATATAAAGTTAAAAAAACTTATATTTATAAGGTCAATTGCAGATAACATAAATACAGTATGCTCTACTCTGATAGATCATGCATAAATACGACATGTATTTTGCAAAGTTTTTTTTGAAATTTTTAGAAAAATCTAGAATCTGATTTTAAGAACAAATTATTTCTCACTATGATGTTTAAAATTCAAGTAGGAAAGGATTATTAATAAAGCAATTGACTAATAATAATAAAGTTACGTGAATGATGCAATATGATGATCTCTTAATTCAAAATTCTGAAAATACTGAAAATTCTACGAATTCTAAAAATATGAAAAATCTATGTAATTTTGCAAATCTTCTAAATACTAATGATAATCCTAATTTTATAAGTTAAATGAAGTCTAAGAATATTCAATATTATATTATTTATTCTTAATATTCTACTTTTTATTATTACTTTTATTTATATTTATTTTACTTATATTTTATTTATTAAATTAGTTAATTTATAGTATAATAAATAGTTAACTATGATAAAAGAAATTTTATATAAATAGATAGACTTTTTGCTTATGTTGTAAATTAACTCTTTTATGAATTAGAAAACTTTTTTGTGAATACAAGTTTAAAAATAATAAAATTAATTAAAACTTATATCTTTCTGCTTCTTTGTATCTTTATATAGTCTAACATAATTCTTACACATTATTTATAATTAAGTTTATTATCTAAATTCTTTAATTAAATGATTTGTAATCTCATCTTTCAAGTCTTTATACTTGATAAATTTATTTTAGTTTAATGTGTAAATTTGATAAAGTTAAGAGTTAAGCAGATCTTAATGTCTTAATCATAGTAAATTGTAGTTAGTAACTTCAAATAAAGACTTAAGAATATGATCAACCTGAGTTGAAAAATTTCCCAGTGACAATATATATATAAATCTGTATATATATATATGTGTGATAAATATTTTCTATTTTTTTATTATTATTATTTTTGAGAAAAAGATAAAGTGTGTTCAGGTATTATATAGAGCTAAAAATAGAAATCAAAATTTACCAGTCAAAGATCTAGAAAAAAAAAATTTTACCAGATTTTTTTCAGATTTCATGAAAATTTGTCAGACTTGTAGAAAGTTTCTTAAAATTTATCAAATAAAGATTCAGAATAGAAATTTTATCAAAAATATCAGATTCTACCAGAATTTTATCATCTATTTTTAGCTCTGGCATTATATATTTTTAGTATAATTTGTAAAATAACTATAATGTGTTAAAATAACTTTTTTGCAACAACTTATAGAACTTGTGTTAAACAATTCAATAAATATTATATAAAAATATTTAATGATTAATAATATTACAATTGATAATTTATTTTATTGATAATTAACTATTTAATTATACTTTTTATTATAATTAATCTTATTAAATAATGTCTTCTATAATCAGTGCATAAATAGTATTATAAACTTTAACAAAATCTAAAATTTTTAAGATCGCCTAATAAAATTTTTTTGTATTAGATTTTTTTTTCAGAAAAATTATATTCAGGATTAACCATTTAAGCATATTTTATATTTATTTTTTAATTAAAAAATTTCTTTTATGAATTAAAAATTTTAATTTAAACTGATTTGATCTTACAAAGATATAATGTAGGATTATTTTCCTTATCAGATAGAACATTTACTTCTTTATCAAATCGTTCTATGTTAATTTACAAAGTAGTATAATAGAACATTATTGCATAATAAAAAATTACAATTTTATTATTAATAAGAATATCTTTTTATTTTCTAATAAAATACTTTTTATTATAAATCCATTTGGATTAATTAATTAAATAAGGATTTGAATAGTAATTATTTTATAAAGATTAAAGCAATATTGGTTCAGTTATTTAAATGTTAAGATCTGATCAAAATTATAGATTTATAAATCTTAGAAGGCTTAGGTTAGCCTAATTTGTTAAATGAAAATTTTGGATCTGATTTAATTCTTTTTTCGTATAATAGGGTTAAATCGTTTCACAAGTTTTCGATTTCTGGTAGATAATCACGTTGGCCAATTTGTTTGATAGTCTTAGATTGATTACTTCATTAATTTTCTGATTTACAATACGCAGCTGATCTTTGTGGATTTTATAATAAAGGGAATATCCAAGGATAATTCCGATCAATAATCCAAAAATAAATTCGCTTGTGAGAGCAAACATTTTAAAATGATGAAGTCTGTTGGACAGATTTGTAAAAGCGGTTCGCGAAGCTTTTTCGTAAAATAGTTCAATTTCTGTCGTTTTTTTATAGCAAATGTCATTAATGCGTAATCAACATGCGTGAATTACTGCGCATCAATTCAGCCACCGATCAGAGATCATATCTTCCTATTGTAAGAAGTGCAAGGGAAAATAATTTTTTAAATTTTTTTTTAACCCGCACAATAAAAATCTGTCTTTCAACATCTGGGTAAAGTACGGTGAAAGCCAGCCGACTAAAGTCTATTTCAGTGGAGGGGATGTCGACGACCTGAAGGCGGCGATCAGGGAGAAGTTCAAACCAAGTTTGGACGACGTTGCCACCGCTGACATTATCCTCCGCCTACACGACGAGGAAGTGGCTCTTGAGCCAGATAGAGTGGTGGAGCGATCCTTTGGTCAGACCGCACGAAAGCCGCTCAAAGTCATCGTTTCCCGAGGTAAGGGAGTGGGAAGGCAAAGCGCTGGAGGGTGGGAAGTTAGAGGCAGCCTGGTAACGACTTTGTGATTCGGGCGTTGGGGACAGAGTAGTGTGTGGAATAGACTTCGCATTGTCACCTTTGCGCTCGTGATGCTAATTTACGCCTTCATTAACATGCAATCAGTGTTACCTCAAGGTACGAAGCGTAAGCATGAAGAAACTGTTGGTCTGATCGTCATTTCGGAAAGCCGCCTAGACAAGATTTGTCAAAACTGGAGTAAATACAAAATCAACCTTCTACGCAGCCCACCCTCCTCGGGCAAGACAACGCTTGCCAAAGTTCTCAAAAAATAGCCTTGTTTTATCGACAGTATCGCGACCAAAGAGGAAGAAATAGAATAGCATGGTTAGAGGTACGAAAAAATTAATTCGAATACTGTTTATGCAAATCTGTGTCGCACGGGCCTATTCTTCGGCAAGAATTTTACCGAATATCTTCTGCTATTAACTACTGCACCTGAGTCTATTGATTCATCGGAATCGGAGTCGTCGTCAACGTGGCATCAGGCGTCTCCTCTTCTGAATCACTAGAAATGTTTTCTTAACTTCCTTTAAAACCTTCCCATTCTCATACGATGTCCCCCAATTAGCTGTCACATCATCAATGCAGGCTTCCGTGAGCGTGTTTATAAAATCCTCCAAATCATCCTCATCAACTTTGGACGAATTGACTGGGGCAGGAAAAAAAAATTACGCATGCTGAGTCACAGATGATTTGCGATTTATTAGCAACAGAGATACAGATATCGGTAATTTTCAAGCTGAATGTATCATGATTTGATTAAATTTTATTTATAAGCATTACATATTACAAGCTAATGTACAATACTTTTAAACTAGCTGAGGAAAAAGAAGCTTTGAAGGAAGAAATTATAAAATTAAGAAATGAGAAGAAAATAGTAAGAGAAGGTTTAATTAGCTACTAGAATTCTGGTTTGCTATCTCTGCCAACTAATAATGTAACCTAAAATTTAAAAATAACCTTCAATACAAGATTTGTATATATTATAAGATAAGGATATGGCTGCGATCAAAAGAAAGAAACCGGGTTTTCTGTTACTAATTGCAACCGAAACAATAATAACAAGTAGAAAAGTTCCTAGAATTTTTCCTAGAACGTTGGGATCTACTTGAAAAGTGATTTGTAATTGAGTGAAGATTTCTTTTTTTTCATGATCAAATTGTAAAGTAACATTATCATAATCGTTGGTGAGAATTATGCTGAGATTTGTTCCAGAACTTTTCAAATATTCCATTCCTAAGATGTTTATTTCCGTAAAGTGCGAATCGATGGGTGGCAAGTAAGCGACAGAACGTTTGTTGTTTATGAATACTTGGTAAATTGGTGTGTGAAATTGTAGTTTGAAAGATTCGTACACTTCTTCGCAAATGTACGTTTTTGGGGAAACAGTGTCTAGAATAAAGTGGACGTTTTTTGTTTTCTTCTTGATAGTAACCGGTAAAGAGATAATGACTCTTAAATTAGGGCCGAATATCATGCCGTTTATTTCTTTTAATTCTGTTAGTTGAGTATCCGATAAGTATTGAGTTTTAAGTTCTTTAGATACTGTTTCATGGAGGTCTTTGGAATGGAGATCAATCAAGAGAGGGTCATACATATTGGCAGGATAATCATAATCATTTTCATTCTCAAGCATCTTGTAGTATATTTATATCTACGGCGGAGTTTAGAAAAGTAAAAAAAAGTCATTTAATTTATCAAAGTTTCTTTGCTATCTCATAACATGACATTTTGTAACACCATGAAAAAATAACGTAAAGCCATTTGATATACTGCGCCAAATTACTGTCTGATCACATAATATAGTCTTACCAATATAAGTAAGATTTTGGCAGCCCCCCGGCTGAAATTACAGTCGTATTTTTTTTCTCTGTATTTCACTGCGCCGATGAGGCACGTGTTAACGATCACGATATTCTCGGCGAATATCAAATATATTAAAAAGATTAGGAATGGCGATATGTCCGCTTTGACTTTGAGCATCTATAGAGCCGGAAAATTTGATTAACATCGTGTTGAAGTCACATGTCCGTTCCAATTTGGAACGGAGTTTTCATAACCTACATCATCCGTATTAGTAGCTTTTTTGGGAAAATCATTTATAATGTCCTGGATCTGATTATCAGATAAATTCGAGATGGCACTTGCGCTACAGCTAATTATTTGGATTCTATTTATTCCTATCCCATCAAACAATATATAGATTTTTTTAGCTCTGAAAGTTATTTTACGCAAGTTTACATCAGTAATGTCAGGAAGCAAGGTTTTGATTTCGCTGTACACCAATGTTCTTGCTGATTTGTCATCAACACCATTCTTAGACTTAACGTCCCTGACTCGATCCTCATATGCTTTATAGTAACAATACCAGCATAAAATCTCCTTACGTCTAAGCTTCATTGCTACTCTAAATAGATCAACTATATTCTGTACCGTAACTTCACTAGATCCCATCAGAATTGCTTTTAAAGAGAGTTCAGGAATCTGAATATCAAATATCTTATTAATCTTACCATCACCAACTTCAGTGAAGGATAGCTCCCGTCTCAAATCTTGCTCCACTTTTTGATTATAAGGAATTTTTTAACACTCTGTCTCTGTATTCTCAGAAGCCAGAGTCTGTTTGTTCGCCATAGACAATTTTACTGGCAATGTCCCAGCAGATGATTTGTTACCAGAGGTAACTGACTTACAGGCTGAAATCAATTCTTTGACTATCTGTTCTGGAAGAGTTATAAGTTCAGCGCTAATCATAGAGAGATTCTCTTTACAATGAGTCAAATCTGAAGTAACAGAGGATGAATCTTTGGCAATCATCTTATCCTGAACCTTCTTTTCTCACCTGCTCTCTCTAATTTTATTACTAATGCTTTTCTTATTTACCTCAACCAAGAAAGCATCCATCTCCATTTCCTCCGATGTCTTGGCATCATCATTATTTCACTGGCTGGATAAATCAACATCTGATACAATATGCTCTACAAACCTCTTTGATATTGCTTCTTTATATAGCTGATCATTCACTACTGAGGAATCCTATTTCACTATCACAAGTCTGACCTCAAGATCCGTATTTTTTTGCTCTAATTCCTCAACTCTAGCATCATGTCTGACATTTTTCTTAATAATCTGCTTCAGCTTCGCATTTTCATCCTTAACTTCTGCAAACTTCCTCCTGAATTCAGAAATCTCAATTAAGAGCTTAGTATTTATCTCTCTTAATGAATCAATAGATTGTGTGTTTGATATGATTGATAACACTTGTTTAGTACACTAAATATTCAAATTAAATAATAAAAGATCACTTTTGCCAAGAAAATTTTTTATTAATACATGCAAAAATAAATACAAATATTCAGGATATAACCTGGAATACATGACATTTTTATGATATATTGTGGACTATTATATATGCTTATTTTTTCAAATGATAACCTTCTATCCTAACCCTTTTCCTTTCAGGTTCTTCCTTTGCATATGCTCTGTTCTTTAATAAACCTACTATTACATCTAACACCTTTTTACACTATTGCATAATGTTTGATATTCTACAAAGTCTTTATTCAAGATATCTTCAGAAAATTCGATGCTAAGTAGTAATTTGTTGCCTTACGAAATTTTCTCCAGTGTGTACAGCAGGAAGTGCCAGTCCTGAGCTGTGATGACAATACCATAGAGGTAATCGAAATCATCATTGTCATCTCACTTTTATTTTCTCATATTCATTTGGAATGAGCTCTCCAACTATTTGATATTCTGAGCAAAACCTTCGATTAGATTTCACTCTAGTTTGTTCTCAGTGACGCAAATAAGGTTCTCAGCTTTCTGGAATGACCAAAGTAAGTATGACATTAGAGTGAAGTAAAAAATACACACAAGAAATAATTCTATTATCTTGATTGTGAAGTCAACACGTCCAGTACTTTTATCACCAATTACTTCGTATTCAGGTCACATGCTGAGTTCTTTCCCTGTAAAATCTCTTGTAATATTGATTGCAGTGTAAAGAATCACCATGACATACTTATTATGCATAGCTTCTAAGCTATTCATGACCAAAGATCTGTAATTTTTTAGCCTAACTAAAATTTCCATCACGCAGTGCTCAAAGTACTTATTAGAGTCTTGAATTTTGTGGTTTGTAAAGAAAATAATGGGATGCTGTCCGTACTATTGGAGTCAATACTATATTTTGCTAACTCCTCACTCAAACTCTTGTACGAGAAGAATGCACGCTTCAGCTTTTCTTTAAGGATCTTAGTCTCTTTCGCAAGTCTCATAGCCAGTCCACTAGGAAAATTGTAAGAAGAAGCTAAAAGCCTTTCTTCGGTCATGTCAAGGAAATCCTGACCCATAACCTCTTGCTTGCGGAGAATATTATAATGCTTCTTATTGTTGAGCTTGAGGTTCTGCTCTTTTAAGTGCAGAATAAGAGTCTCTGTATCTCAGTTCTCAATCAGGTAAGAGTTGTATTCAGCTGTTAAGGTAGACATAGTGCTTTTTTATAAGTAGTTTAGCTCAGATAAAAAATAGTTTACGTTCTGAAATGAGATAAAAATTTATTTCTGTACAGGAAAGAGACTACTGGACATTAATATAGATTTTTATATCACACAAGCATTTCATGGTCCCTTTAAAATTACATTATTACATGTGACCTAATTTCTTGATAAATTAGTAAAATAATTATTTATAAAATAAAAAGTTGCTGAAACCTGATCTACAATACATAAAAATTGGCCGTTAGCCATTAAAGCACTTCGCATGACTATACTTCGTGGCTAAGGCCTATCACTACATGATAAATAAAATATAGATAAAAAAATTCTAATAACTAGGAGGAGTATTTAAATACATACAATAATATGAATTTTATCATTAGGAGATTACTGGAAAAATTACTAGAAATTAATTGATATGGGAACATTTCTTCTTCTCTTTCGTCTTGCCTATTATTATATTGTCTAATTTGATCGAAATAGTTATAACTACTCCAGAATCGATCTTGTGAAAAATAAAGTTGGTAGGAAGAATATTTTTAAATAATAATGGCTACCTTTCCTTAATCATAGGTCTTAACAGATCGATTGTCTCATTACTAGAGATCTTAAACATAGTAATACTATGCCTTATTATGCTTTCAGGTAAGACACTAGGAATAACAAGATAATTAAGAGTTAAAGTATTGGCCATTGTCTGATTCCTATTTCTAAGGACTCATGCTCGCTCCTATACATATATAATTTATGACATATACATACCTTATTTTGAATTATTTTACGAAAAATATTTTTGCAGAAAGTTAGTTGAACTTTCACATACTCTTACATGCTTTATATCTTGCTGGAAAAAAGCTATGAAGATACAAAGCGTGATTAGCATTGTCGTATGATACCAAGAATTCTATAAAAGCATATGTAAATGGAATCTTTAAACCCTTTCATATGGAGATCTACTAGAAAAACATATAGTTGGCTTTACGTCTAGCAATCTCAGAATTGCAAGTCCCTTAGCCTTTTATAATATATGCTTTTACTGGCACTATTTACTTTAGAGTTAGTCCTGTATTGCATGTAGACCTTCTTTCACATTTTCTCACATTTGTTTGGAGGAAAAAATAGAAGTATTGGTTAGCATATAACTTTTTTTTGATATGTAAAAATTAATATATCATACGAGACCTAACTGATGATCCACTTATTTTTGTCAGCAAAAAATCTTTCGAGCTAGTGATTACTGCTCTGGTTGATGATCAGTATTTCAGACACAAATTTGAATATATGCTAGTTAGAGATAAATACAATCATGATAAGTAATACTAATATTAGTTCTGATAAAAGCGAAGCTCAATTATATGAAGTGTTTTTGTATAAGAAGAAAAATATAATAGCTATTCAGAAAAAACTTAGTATGTTCCCAGATCTGGGTAAGTAATCTATTGAGAGTAGAAATCAAACAGCATTAAATCAAAGCAAAAAAGGAAATACACTTGAAGATTCATTTGGGCTGTTATTTGATTTAGTGGGGGAATTAATAGATATACAGGGAGATCTTGATGTGGATTGTCATCCCATTTTTATTATATTATATAATAATATGCATGATCTTGAGGAAGAAACATATGGGAAAAGGTCACTTGAGACATTATATCATTTGCTTTTGTATTTGGAAGAGGATATAAGCATGATTCAAGATCATCTTGGTATTGTCAGTTATACTAATCAAGAAATAAGTAGATTAGAAAAAGCTAATAAAAATGCAAGAGCGTATCTTCAAAACTTCTGACAGTTCCTTATCTTTATTGGATATTAACACGCTTAGACATTTAGATAGGAATGAATAATATTACAAATCGATAGTTCAAGAAACTCTGGCTTAGCTTACTTTAAACCACCAACCGTTTAACTTTTTTTTGATCATGCCTTCCTTCGTTGCTTATGAGGGATAGCCTCGTTTTCTCTTATCACAATTGTCTTGACTGAATTAAATTCTTCAGAAGACTCAGATAAATAGGAAGAACCCTTACCTTTTTTAGCAATTATTGAGGAAATTATTTCTTGTATTAAGTCGACTACAGTCTTCATATCTACATATTTGTCCAGTTCTACACATTCATTCAGATCTTTTAATTTAGTCTCTAAAGACTTTACATTTCTCTAATCTTTTTACCCTCTTTTCTAAAACGTTATGTTGGGAATGATAATCTTCTAATTGTTTCTTTAGTACCCTATTTTCACTAGAGAGTGTACTATACACCTTTGCATTTTACTTGTCTAGTCCAAATGCTAGGTTAATTTCTCTGTATATCTGATAACTTTCTGTTCTCTGAATATATCAGATGAATAATTTTGATCAGTTACCATTTTCGTGATATTTTATATATGATATATCTTGCCTTAAGTAAAAAAATAAGATTATGCATATTGGTGATAGATCTAGCAAAATTTGCTGAAGGTGCATTGCTAGTAACTATACATATTGATAAAATCAGATATTTCATTATTTTCTGTAGACTCTAATTTCAGGTCTGAGTTGTGCTCATCTTCAAGTCTGGAGTCCTCTGATTCTGTATCACTTATAGCATAATTATTGCTTGCATCAAGATGATCAGATTCTTGCCTCATTGCGATTTTTAAAAGCAGTTTAAGATGCTGGGGAGTCAGGTTTTTATCACCATAAATTCTGAAAGCGTGTTACTTCCATAATCTCTTAATTTTTTAGGTATAGTTTTATAAGATTCTTATTTTAAGAATTGATTAAATGGCTAAGCATTACGTATTTCACTTTTAGTAAAGACAGGGTCAGATAACTTTTTAGCCTTAATTGCATTTCAAATCCAGATGAGTAATTCCCTGACGCGTTCTGGATTCTTCTCTATGAAAAGAAATGGCCAGGACTCAGGATTTTCCTTCTTTTCTCCTCTACTCTTTAGATAGCCTATGTAGTATCAAGAATAACTTCTTTATACTATGCTGAAATGTTCGAAGGATCCAGTTTATAGTGATTAATTTGAAGAGATCTTACTTCTCCTAGTCTCATACTCAACATCACTATCACATCTGCAAGATCCTCTTTAGTAGGAATTTTAGAAGTATCAATATTTTGAAGCCTTTTACTCACATTTGCTAAGGAAAAATATATGGGAATTCTGTCCGGATTAGCCATTTGCTTTTTAGTTTGTTCTTTCTGAATTTTATTAGAATCTTAAATAAGGTCCTTATCTTTGGCAAATTCTTTAATGATTGCAAGATCTACACCATCTTCTGCTAATTTTATACAGAATATTAACTAACATGAGACACTGGCAACGATTTCATTTTCATCTTTACTTTTTGGACCCACTGCCTAATGATTAGTGATAATGTCTACAAAATCACTGACCTTAGCATAATATTCTACCCTTTTCCCAATGGTGAGGTTTTTCTTTCTCTTATCTGATAAGAGAGTCTCTATCTGCTCTTTACTAAATGAGCGTCTGTTATCAGTGCCTCTGTTATTAGTACCTCTAGCAAGAGCAACTTTAACATACCTACGAGCCATCTAATTAAAAAGCAAAGCATCAAGTTCAGGAGCATGTTTGCTTAATTATTCTAGGGTGAAATTAGCTAATAAATTATACTTTTTTAGAAACTGCTCTAAGACCAATACAAAGTTATTAGCTTTAGGTTTTTGGATTTTTAAGGTAGCCATTTTGGTAGCCATTTCAATATTAACTATTATCTAGTTATATTATGTGAGAAAAATTCAATCAAAAAATTTCCTCAGAGTTATACTTCTTCGAAAAGGAAAAATATCAGAGATGGCTCTTGAGAAGGTTAAGAAAGTGAAAAAAAATTAATTATATAGCATATGCAGGTTCTCTATAAGACCATCCATCCTAGTTGGGGGTTTTACATCAATTTGAAAATTGTGAGTAAATAGGATATGCGAAAAAAATACATAGTTATAAAATTATAATAATTTAGAATTTTATATCGCCTATATGTAAAGAACATAAAAACCCTCTTATCCAACATCTTTCTTATGCATAGCATCTTCAGTTAAACTGGCTTCTTATTCGCTCTTTACCAAAATATACCATTCTTCTGAAGTATTTTTATATTTTTTTGTCATTTCTTATCATCGTAAATATATTTCTGGAGTTTTTTCACATCTTCGAACTTTTGGAGATATATTTTTTTGCTTATTAATCTTTTCCTTCTAGTCATATAAAATAAATCATTCAGATTCATATTATTTTCTCTAACAAATTCAATGACTTCTGCATTTATCATCATCCTGTCTCGATACTCCCAAGATAAGTTGACGTCTTTTTCTGTAATCATCATAAACTTATCAGGATCTTCACTATGATCGATAGCCTATTTTCTGAGATGCTCTTCACGTTATTATCTAGCCAGAAATGCAGAAAAAACTGTTTTATTGCTAGATTCGATATGTTCAAGTATCTTGTCAATTACTGGCTCAGATAGATTAGAAGTCTCAGATATTTTAGATATTGAAGCGATTGGAACTTTCAATTGTTCTGCTACATCCTTTTCTGGTTGAGGTGGAATTATTTTTGGGAGAATAATTTCTGACATATTGAATATAGGTATGTCTGTGATCTCATTAGTAGGCAACTTATTTACCTTTAGCGTTTCTGGCTGAGGTATATTGAAAAATTCTTTGATATCTCCTAGGCCATATTCACAGAGTTTAGCTACGATCTTAGAATAATTAAAAATATAATGATATTCTCTTTTTCTATTATTTTGTAAACGTATTCTATCAATACCAATTTATGAAAACTTCTTTTCTAGAATAGCACTAACAAATGTTTTTTCTCCATTACTTTCATACCAGGCAATATATTCTTGATATAAATTTATACAGTATGGCCTATTAATTTTTTTCAACAGACTATGAGGAAGTATAATCGATTATAAACCTAATAGAATTAGGAAATTGATCTCACATTGTTTCTGTTCTCATTTTTGTATTAGGAATATTTTGTAATATCCAATCTGAAAGGTCACATTTAAGTAAATAATTCATGAAAACACCAGGTGTATTTGGATTATCTAAAATTTTTCCTAAATGCTTAAAATATTTCATATTTCCTTTACATTAAAGTGATACATCTAGACATACAATACGTTCATTATCCATTTCAATGCGAAGTGGTGTATTATGGTTACTTAAAACTATATACTCAGCAAAGTCTTTAATTGTCTTAGGCTCAAGCCCTTTGCATTTTATTGTCACGTATAGTTTACTTATAAGTGATTTTAAATGATTATTGGCCTTATGCCATTCTCGAAAGGCCATTTCAGCCTCATTTAAAAGGGTAAGTTTTCATGCTTGTATACAACTATTAAATCTTCCTAATACTTTTTCAAAATCTGATGTCACAAAGAAATAATTCTGATCTTAGTACTTCCTTTCTAATAAAATCTGTCAAGATATTTTTTTTAGAACGTGAGGGTGAGTGTAATATTAAAACAGTACTAAGTTTTTTTATCAGGATATTGTACAAGATATGCAAACCAATTGAGAACATACTCTGAAAGAACTTTATTTCTATTACACCAGACATTTTCTATATGCCAGATTATTGACTCAATAAGAGCAGAATTTATTTCAATAATAAGCACTTTAAAATCTAAGAAGAGGTTGAAAAACTTTGTATTTGGTGGAGAGCAACATGGTGG